CCCCCCCCCCGCCAGCCAGCCAGCCAGCCAGCGCGCCCCCTAAACGTGGTCCCGGCTCGTGCATGCCCGACCCCTGGGCACACCTGCGGGGAACACATCATCGCCCGGGACATCGCCGCCCAAAGGGGAGGGGGCCCGGCCTGGCCCGGCTGATCGATCAAGCCGGCCGGACCCGGCCCCACACGAAAATGCCGGCAGGGCGCGCTCTGCCGGCGCGCATACACCTGCGTGCGCACCAGGCCAACAGGAACACACCCCCCCACGGATGGGCAGGGGCGGCCGGGGGAGGGGGGGGGGGGCAGGGAACCCATTTTCTCTATGGCGACGCGTGATGGCCATGAATATATATATTAACCCTACTGGCTTGCATGCTGTCCCCGATTAAATGGCTGCGACTGACGATGGCGAGACAAGTAAGGTGCTTAACTCGGTCGCACAACGCCCTGCCCTGCACTTGCCTCCCTGCGCGTCGGAAGGCGAGCGGGAGGGAACACCCCGGCAAACTACCACCCCACCCGCCCAAAGGTTGCCCGCTCGCCCGCCTGCCTTTCGCGTGTCGTCTCTCCGCCGTGGAGCCGCATTTTTCTCACACATTTACATTGAGGAACAGGGGAGGGAGGCGACGCGGGGGCGCGCGGGGAAGGGAGGCGCTGCCAGAAGGAGGAGCCGACAAGGCAGCCTTTTTTTCTTGCCACCAGTGCGCGCGCTTGCTGTGTGTCGATGCGCCAGGCATCGAGACCAGATGCACTGATTGGCCGCTGCTTGTCCGCTCTTGGGGCGTCTCCTCCGCCCCGCGGCGGCCGCTGCGCGCTCTTTCGGTCGTCTGACACGCGGAGCCGCCTCCGCCATGGCCACCACCCCCGCGCACACGGGCCAGCGCTCCTTGATGGCCGGGATCCCGCAACCGACACAGCGGAGGCGAGAGGGAGAGAGAGAGGGGGGGGGGGAGGGGGAGGGGGGTGCCAGGGCTCCATGTCCCTGCTCTGCGGCGCGGCGCAGTCAGTCCTCACACATGCCGTCCGGCTTAGAAGAGCATGGACAGGGCAGAGGCGGTGGCCACACCGAGCGCGGCGGCCGTGGCGAAGGCCGCGCTGTTGGAAGCAGCCGAGTTGCCGACGGGCCACGGGGTCGGGGCGATGGGGTTGACGGTGGGCTGGACCGGCTCGG